TTGTTGATTTTTGGACATTAAATAACAAAATTAATGAAAATCATCAAAGTTAAAAGTATAATAATAAAATTTTTCATTTCCATTAACATAATATTGCGTGAAATATTTTAATTTTGTTGTTTTTTTTTTTTGTAAAAAATCAACAATTTAAAAATATATTGAAAATTTTTAACAAGATTGAAATACAGTGACATATAATATTGAATATTGACTTATAGTAGTACCAACTTTCACCTTAATCTCCGGTGAAATAAAAAGCAATAATTTTGAAATTTTAACTAATTTGAAATCAAAATTTATCGTAAACTTCGATTGAGAGTAACATAATTTATTTTCATTACATTTCAAGATCCAAATCAATGGAAGAAGAATTTTATTATGAAATTGAAATGTGTCATAATATATATATATATATATATATATGTTGGCTCTCTTTTCTTTTCATTTACAAAGATAAAAATATCAGATTGAGTACAAAAAATATATAATTTAATCTCTCCCTTTATTCTTAAAGAAAAATTGCTTGCATGATCAATCAAGGCAAATGATTCCGCAGGAAAAGTTGACTGGATCTGGAACAAGTGACCTGCAAATGGCATGAAATCAATTATTTGCCCAACTTTTTTCTTTGTTCCTTATTAAAAAAGAAAAAGAGAAATAAATTACTTTTATCACAAAAGAAAAGGTAATGGAAGACAACCCTCGGGTGGGACTTGGGATTGTGAAAAGAAAATAGACTAAAAAGTCTGCTTTAAATTCATGTGGGGTTGTATAATAGAGTTGTTGGATTTAAATTGTCTTTATTTATGGGCAACCAAAAAATTTTCTTGTAAATTTAGAGGCAAAAGGCCCAAGAAAAACAATTTTGGTGAACCTTAAAAAAAAAAAAAAAAATACTAATTTCCTTGATAATGATGAGCATTTCTACCATGATCACATGTTGGGCACATGGTTGTTAATAATTTGATTTTCTCTAATTTAAAAATTTTGGTTTTTCTTTTTCCTTTTTTTCCTATTGGTGAAGAATCAAATGCATGCACCAGTTTCTTCTTTTCCCATTGTGGACCGGAGAGCCTTATTTCTCACTCAATTGTTTCATTGTTTTTTAGAGAATTTCTCTTGCAAGTTTTTATAATTATAAATTCTATAGTGACAGGAAGCATCCTCTCTGTCAAATGTCAATGAATTTAGTTTAATTTATTCAAATACAATCACATGGAAATTTACATTTTTGAATAATTTTAGGATTTAATATTTTGTTTAACTGAATAATTTAATTCCAACTTTTTGACTATTATCATTAAAATATAAGGAAGTAATTAGCCAGCAATAGCCATCAAATATTAACATTTGTCTTCTGAAATTTGAGAATTATTTTACAAAATTCAAATTCAGCTTCTAAAATAATTTGCAAAGAAAAAAATCCTCCCTCTTAAACCCCCCCCCCCCCCCAAAAAAAAAGCTTCATTACAAGAATATGCCACATGAATAAAGTCAAGTAGCAAGAACTCTCTAGAATTTTAAATTCTTTAATCAGAGGGAGTCAAATAATTAGCCTATTTTAAATTAATCATCATTTAATTCTTTTTTAATGCTATATATCTAACATAGATGATTTATTGATTGGAGTAATTTTTATTTGTGTCCCCTATCCTAACCCAATGCAACATGACTGGTCAAGTTTCGGCCGCTTAATTATTTGACTAATCATTAATTCCCAAAAGTTATCTTTTACCCTCAATAAATGACAGCTAGCAATGCCCTTTTAATTCAGGACGTTTCTTGAAGTTTTTTTTTTTTTAAATATTTAATACTGACTTACATTGTCCGGTATCACATTTGACTCAATAAAAGTATCAAATTAAAAAAATTATGCACGTAATATTTTTTTATTGAAATAAATATAATAGAGAGTACAAAATAAATAAAATCTTTAAAAATATATTGACTTACATTTCCATGTAGAAACATAGTGAAAATTTTAAAGATTTTTGGTTTTTCCTTCGCCCTCTCAATTAATTATGGGATTTTGTTCATTTTTAACAAAAATTTTGTAGTGGCAACAAATTTTTTTTTTTTTTTTTTTTAATGAATAACACGCATGTTTTCCATTTTTTTTAAAAAAAATCAAACTAGTTTAAAAAAAAAAAAAGAAAATCTTAGACTGGGTAAAGGAGAAAACTTCCAATAACTTGAACTAATACACTACATTGACTCCATATCAATTTAATCTCCAATGCACTTCCATCTCAGTGTCTCAATCATTTGTCTGTAACCAAAAAAAAAAAAAATTATATTTTAGAAAATTCATTTATATATCACATCTGAGTAGGTGAATAATATTCCCTTCCATATGGACTTTTCAAACTTCCCACATAATTTCTAAACAGATATTACACGATAAAATGTTTCATACGGATTGATTATGATTTCAGACTTTATTAATCATGTGGATCCCACACTGTCATATTATGTTCCTAACAGTGTTTATGATTTTCAAAATTATACCCTTCTTCTCCTCCCTTAGTTTGCCTTTCTATCAAAGTGACCTCTTTCACATATCCCATCAAAAGCCTCTCCATTTTTTTCACATTTTTTTATATTCTGAAGACAAAAGTTGGTTTCAGGAAATAATACATTGATCCACTGTTTGGGATTTTTGGATTTATCCAATTTTTTTTATAAAACCATAAAAAAAAAAAAAACTATATAAGTAGAGGAAAAATATTTGTTCTAACCATTTGGGACACCAAATTTACCCATACCATACTCCAATCTCATGCAGTTAATACTTCTAATTATTGTTATCAAAATTGGATCGAAGAACGAACTATTTCAAGTGTTGGTCATCAATTATTGAATTAATAAAAATATTTAAAAAATTAAATATTAAAAAAACTTATCAATTATGTGATAAATAATAAAATTTTATTCTAGATAATTTTATACTTAAAAATTAAAATATATAACATATAATATAATAAGTATGAAAAATATATTTTTTAAAATATATAAAATAAATTTAACTTATAAAAATAAATTTAAAATTCAAACTCTCAAAATATCAGTTAAATAATTAAATCATATTAATTTAAAAAAACCAAACAAAAGTAAATATCTCAAAAAATTGAAAACGCAAATAATTGTAAAAAAGAAAGTGGCTATATATATATTTTTTTAAGTTGATTTTTTAGTCTGCATAAAATATAAGAGAGGGTAACACCATTTTATTTAGATCTTAGTTTTTTATTTTTTTTATTTACTTTAGAATATGTTATTTTAACTAAATAACACAATAATTCATAATTTCAATTATAAAAACTAAGTTAATTCAATTTTTATTAAACCGGTTGAGTTTTAAAACTTTTTTTAAATACCAAAAAAAATTAAAACACATCCGATTTAATAAAAAATCAGCTAGCTTATCGATTTGTTAATTAAACTGCCGATTCAATATGATTTAAAGCAATTTAATTGTGTGTTTGGTCTAACAAAAAAATCAGACCAATTTAGATGTCGAATCACTAATTTAACCAACTGTTAGATTGGTTCTAATAATTATGCTTCTAATAGATTTCGATTAAAGTAAAAACTGCATTTATACATATAATGCTTTCAAAAATATTATCAAAACCAAAAGAAATAACTAGCTAGTTTAATACAGTTATAAGATGTTTTTTGGTAATTAACGTTGATAGTAATTGAATTTTTATTATTAAAATTAAAAATTCAGCTTTATGTCAATAGATCCCATCATAGTTGGCTAAGTCTATAAAAATTTTTTTAAACATGTTTGTGAAGTTTGGAGGCGTGTATATAAATAAAAGCTCAAAAATCATATAATTTAAATTGATAAATTTTTATATGGCCATCAAAACCTGTGAAAAAATTTTTTTAATACAATTATTGCAGTTAATTTACTCATAAAAAATAATCTTTTGCGCGTGCACTTATAATGGACTTTGATATTGATAAATGTATTTGTGAAATTTGATGCATTAAAAATTACTAGAAAAAAATTACTGAAAACGGATTGAATTATACAAATGGTCAAAGGCATAAAAGTCATACAGTTGTTGCGATTGCTGCCATTCTTATCAATTGTCAAGGGAAAGTTGGCAAAGCCAGCCAGACAAACTGAGCCAACTAAAATTCTATTGCCAACTAAGATTTAATTCCACAAAAGTAGAGGCTCTAGTTATTTATATATACTGCTATTTGTTTGTGCTAATTCTGCAGATTCAAGTGCAGTCTCATCTGCCAACTACAACTACTTTAAGCCTTGTTGCAGAAAGATTAAGTTCCTTTTGCAATTAAAATGTACAAAAAAAAAAAAAAAGCCCCCATTTTAATGATGATATATAGAATATTAAACAGGGCAATTATGCTTAATTTTCCGGTTTTACTTTGAGATTTTACTCATTAAAATCTCTAAAAAAGTCCATAGGTATTAATATTTTATTTAAAATTTAAGAATACGTTTTGAGATTTTATTTTGAGATTATATTTTTATTGAAATAACAAAGAAATATCTATTTCTAATTTAAAAACAAAAAAAAAACAAAAATAGAAATGCTCATTGCGGCCCCAAAAGAATGGAAGAAACAAGAAGATAAAATTTCCCATCGCAGATTCTCATTTTTCAATTCTTAAGCCATATTAATTTATTATTTCCATCCATAGTTAATAAAAGAATAATTTAAAACCCAAGCAATTATTTAAAGAAACAGTGACCAATTAAAAAAATTAACCCAAAAACGATTATCAAAGAATTCAATATAATTATTAACTAACTGATTGATAGTAACATGCATGACCAAATCCATGATGGGAAGACAGAAAAGCTGAAAGTAGTGTTGATATCTTTTTTAATTTTTTCTTTTTGCAACACTTTTTTCCTTCCCAACTACATGAAATGGAAAAGCCCATGCTAATCCATGCAGAGAAATTTGACAAAGAAAAAGGTGAAGTCTATTCAGCCACATCATGACACTCCAAGCCAAAGAAACAAAAAAAAAAAAAAAGAAAAGTAGACCATTTTTTTTTTTTGAGGAATGGATTTATTTTTATTACGGATCAACCCATGCATTTGCAAAAGGTTGGAAACACATACATATACGATTCATTTCTTTTTAATAATAAAGTAGAAAGAAATAGGTGGACGTCCGAATAATACAACTGTCAAACACATGAAAACGATGAACCCCTTTTTTCCCTACTACTTGTCTACAATATTATTGTTTTCTTCGTTTCAAACGCGGAGACTAGGCTGAGGCTCCCAGTTTCTATCTCTCACTTTATAATTCTTTAAACCATTTTTGTCACTCATATTGGGATCACAGTTTTCTCCTCTCCTGCAACAACACATTGTGATTTTGTAATTGAACTGACTAAATTTACATAAGCAAAAAAATTGAGAATAATGAACCGTAAAGAAATGAAAAAATATTTATGGGAAAATGTATGTTACCTTGGTACCGTCATGGCCGTTGCTTAGTAGTGGGGAGGAGGAGGGGGTGATGAATAAACGTAATGGGATGGTGGTGGTGGAGGAGATTTATACTTGTAAACTGGAGGAGGAGGGGGAGGAGACTTGTACTTGTAAACTGGAGGAGGTGGTGGAGGAGACTTGTACTTGTAAACTGGAGGAGGGGGTGGGGGAGACTTGTATTTATATGGCTCCTTAGGAGGAGGAGGGGACTTGTACTTGTAAACTGGAGGAGGTGGTGGAGGAGACTTGTATTTATAGACTGGAGGAGGTGGTGGGGGAGACTTGTACTTGTATGGCACCTTAGGAGGAGGAGGAGGGGACTTGTACTTGTACACTGGAGGAGGTGGCGGAGGAGACTTGTAATTATAGACTGGAGGAGGTGGTGGGGGAGACTTGTACTTGTATGGCACCTTAGGAGGAGGAGGAGGGGACTTGTACTTGTACACTGGAGGAGGTGGTGGGGGAGACTTGTACTTGTATGGCACCTTAGGAGGAGGAGGAGGGGACTTGTACTTGTACACTGGAGGAGGTGGTGGAGGAGACTTGTATTTATAGACAGGAGGTGGTGGGGGGGACTTATACTTGTAAGGAGGTGGTGGAGACTTATATTTGTAAACTGGGGGTGGTGGTGGAGGTGATTTGTACTTGTAAGTGGGTGGGGGATAGTGCATTGGAGGTGGGGGAGACTTATATTTGTAAACTGGTGGTGGTGGGGGTGGAGACTTGTACTTGTAGGGGTGCTTGGGTGGTGATGGTGGTGGTGGTGGTGGGGACTTGTACTTGTAAACGGGAGGGGGAGGGGGAGGAGACTTGTACTTGTATGGATGCTTGGGTGGTGATGGTGGTGGTGGTGGGGGAGACTTGTACTTGTAAACTGGGGGAGGAGGAGGAGGAGACTTGTACTTGTAAGGAGGTGGAGGATAGTGCACTGGTGGAGGAGGTGGTGGAGACTTATACTTGTAAACAGGAGTTGGTGGGGGAGGAGAGTGGTACTTGTAAGGCTTCTTGGGTGATGGTGGCGGAGAGTAAACCGGAGGAGGAGGAGGAGGTGACTTGTAGTGGTAGGGTGGTGGTGGAGGTGAATAGTAACGGTAGTCAGCTGTGGTTTCTGAAGGCAAGCAGAGAGAGAGTGCTAGCACTAAAAGAGTAACAAAGAGAGAGGTCATCGAAGACCCCATTTTTCCCATCTTTACTACAAAGTGGGTTTTGGTTCTGCTCTTAGGCAGCCTCTTCATATCCTTTATATAGATTTTGTCTTTACCTTCTAATTACGGTAAAATCGACTTAAACTTTTTTTTTTTAATCTTTGTCAAACCCCACGATTACAAAAATAAAAAAAAATGCAAATGATTCAGGTTTGAACGGGTTTTCATGAATGTAAGAAGAAAGGACTTGAGAGGTTCCGATCGTTGAATTTGGTGGTTTCGATTGAGATTGCTAGCTAAGCAGAGAATAAATAAAGTAATAGTGTCCACATTAATATAATAATTTAAATAATTATATGAAATGCCATAATTCAACTAGAAATCTTCATTGTTAATACTATTATATAATTTCATTTATTTTTTCATATTTCATGAATTAAATTGCTTTGAAAACATTGTGTGGCTGCCAAACTTTTCCACTTCCATGATTTTTTGGCTACGGGACCAGGCGGCTAGACTTTCTTTGGTGTGTCGTTTCCAAAAATTTTGTTTTCTGTGGGCGTATTGTATTGAGAAAGCATAATTTATAGAGTCCATTCGCTTTATTTATATTTCAAAATCTCAAAATTTTTTGATGTCAATTCATCGTCTACAGTTAATTATGGTCTTAATGAAGATAATTACATGGGTTTTTATCTTACTTTTAATTTTAATTAAGCTGTATCAAACCACTAGTCCAACTAAAACATATAAATGCAAAAACTAACAGTGACGGATCTTAAATTTTTTCAAAGATATCTACTTATAATATATATAAAAAATTATGGATGAATTTATTAATTTGTAAACCAAAAAAATATTCATGAAAAATTTTTCTTTCAAACCTTTTAAATTTTCAATCTTTAAAATATCCATAAACACCCTACTAAAAACCATAGATCCACCTCCAACTAACAACAGTAAGTTAGTTAACTATTAATAGGACATATATTTGCTGAATTAGTTAGCGATTTGATTAATTTAATCAACGGGAAAGGAAATCATTCACTAACCACCACTTATTTAATTAATTCCTTAAGTATATGTTTAGATATGATTAATTGATTTGGTTATCTAATTGCTCGAAAAAAAACCAGTAACCAAATTCAATCACAAAAGAAAAAGAAAAGATTAAGCAACGATCCTTCTCAAATATAACACTACTTTTTTTTTGTTTTTTAATGCAAGAAGAAAGTGATTGATGTGGATAGAATCTTTTACTTTAATCTCGATCACGTACTTCGATTAATTACTTGACTTAAATTGACTTTTTAAGCTATTTTTTTCACTACAAAAAATAAACTATGTTTAGCACAAAATAAAACTTAAGGAAACATCAACCTATAGTTAACGACGTGTACTGTTAAATTAAAATTGTACACTTATAATAATATGTTTTATGCATAGTCCTGCCTGGTGTTAGATCTGATTGGCCTTTCGAAAGGCCTGCCCAGGATTGGGCAGTCGGGTTCAATGATTTAATTTTTTTTATATAAAAGATATTAAAATATTTTTTAAAAAATTAATATTTTAATATTTTTAACTATATTTTAAAATTAAAATTGAATAAAAATAAAAATAAAATTTTATCAATAAAATATAATTTTAAATCAAGTCGAGTTTAGGTTTCAAAACTCATATCTAAACCTAGAGTCAAACCGAGCCAAAATCACAAATTATACAAGATAACCTAACTTTTGAATAATTTATTTATGCATTCATGTTCTATTTTTGTTACATATTTTTTTAAGGTGACGTTTAATATCATTAAAATTCCCATGGTGATCTAATTATTATGGTGATAAAATTATCAAAGTTATTTGATCATCATTGACATTAAATTATCATGTTTGGTATGATTTATAAATTACTAATGATTTTAGATCATTGTATATTTTTTATTTGATATTATATATAAAAAAAATCTTCGAGTATAAAATATCCAAAAATACAAAAAAAAAAGTAAGTAAAAAATTAATATTTATTGAATGAACAATTTATAAAATAATGATGTAATTTTATAAAAAACAATGAAGTATAAAATAATTTTGATAGAAATAATTTCTAAAAGATATTATTAAATAAATTCAATAAAATTTTATAAATAAATACAACTCAATAACTATTCTTCTACAAATCGATAAAATCTTAACCATATATACTAAAAGGATGGCTCCATATTATAATTTCAATATTATAGAAAAACTCTTAATATTTTGATAATCTTAATCGTATATATCAAAGATATAAATTGTATTAAGTAGAGAGTAGAGGGAATGATTGATGTCTCTGAAGATTTATTTATAAAAACAATTTGGATGGACTCATGTGTTTTTTCTCACTACTGTCAGGATAAAATTAATTAAAAAATAATATAAAAAATTATTTTCTTACGATGATAAAATTTTTATATCATTTTGAATGAAAATCAAATTACTTAAAATTCATAAATTCACATAAAATAAAATGATGTAATTATTAAATGAAAATTACTATAATTTTTAAATTGATAACCATATACCAAAATGCTCTCTATATAAAAACATGCGAAATCAGAGGCTCTAAGCTTTATTTTAGACAATTACTATGCCACATATTGAGAATGATTCTATAAAGTAATAATAATGAACATAACACAAGTATCATTGCAAAATTAACCGAAATAAAAACTTTAGGGATAATTTTAGAAAACTTTAGCTCCAAGTTAATAATTATAAGAAGAGAAGGAATTCTATATTCATTAGCCTGAGAAAATAATATATAGAGTAATTTATTTATATATAAAGAACTTTCATTAATTAAAAAATTTTTTTGTATAATATTATAATTGTATCGTAATTTTAAATATTATTTCAATTATAATATCATAATTTTTAATATTAAATTTGACTGCATAGTTACACAATATTACTGCAATTCTTATGCAATGCAGCTAACTATTAACTTTGATTGCTAAATAAATCAAATCAAGTCACTTTTGTGAGATTGGTTTTATTTATTTTAATAAAAAAAATTCGAGAGAATTAAATTGTTCAATCTTTAAAAGCAAGGTCAAAAGTTTAATATTTAAAAAGAAAAAATGGTGCATGTATTTGATCAATAAAACTTGAAGAAAACACCATCACTTTCTTCTAAATCTAACTTTACCAATTGAATCATCCTCTTTATTCTTTATTCTTTATATTTTAACTCGAAAGTCAAGTTATTCTTTTGAACCGTCAAAGATTGTATAAAAAAAATGTAAACTAAATTAATTGGATAAAAGAAAAAAAAAGCAAGCCAAAAGTGGAAAACTCAAAATCCAATTCGGCGGAGTGGTTAGCATTACACGACAAAATTGCAATTCACTAAATGGTTCACACTAAACTTTTAAAGATAGTTGACAAACAAGTTTGATATTCCTAATTTGCCACAATTTTCTAGACAACGTAATAACTAATTTGCCTATTTTCAAGCTAACAATAATTATTAATGACTTGAGGGAAGGGTTTTAGAATCAGTCAATAATTTTTTTAATTTGGGTTTTAATTTATCCTAATTATTAGTTACTGATCACTAACTTACAAATCCAAATCCTCTAGAAAATATATAAAAAATAAAACCCTGGATCTAGGGTTAGCTTTTTGAGAATGTGACAATTAAAGTTGTAATTCTTTAAGATAGTATTTGATGTTATTTTTAATATCATCATAATAATATAATTATCGAGTTGATTTTATTACCAAGATAATTTTATCATTTGTGATTTAAATTCAATTTTTTTTAATATTAATTAATTTATTGAAATTAAATATCACACTATTAGGTATTATTAAAAATAAAATATTATTTTATTTAAAATTATAAAAATAATCATGCATATTATAATAATTACACAAATTAATAAATTTATTGTTGTTTAAAAAATAATAATTTGGAAAATATAATAATATTTGCTTATTTTATAATAAAATATGATTAAATTCTTAAATTAATAAATACATTTTTTATTAGATAAACTAATTTTTATAATATAAATTATGTAAAAACATTTGAATTAGAAAATAAAAATAATAAATTAAAAATAATAAAAATAACAAAAAGATTATATTATATATAAAACATTAAAAAAATGCACAAATTATTTTTGAATTTGTTAGAAACATTAACTTGAAAATATAAAAATTATAATATAAAATAATTACAATTTTACAAAAAATAAGTTTTTATTCACATATTAAATAAATAATATTGACTATTGAAATTTTTACATATCATTTTATTTTGATGATAAAAGTTTCATATCCTTTTAAATGAAAATTATATCACCTTCAAAGGTACTAATCTGATCATTCTTGATAATAAAAAATCGCTGTCACATAAAATCGTCAAGTGTTTACCAAATAAAATGATTTAATTATCATGAAAATATTATCATAAATTTTGGAGTGATCATCTTATATCAAATATTTCCTAATAGTAATGCATTTGAAAGACAAGTTAATTAAAAAAAATTAAATAAATAAAGGTAGCCATAGATAATTATATATAAAAAGAAAAAGATAAAGCTAAGTGCGGACAGAAGTTAATTAAATTGATCAGAATGAATGATTCAATTTACATGATTTTTAGTGTCAATAATTTTTTTTGATAAATAATTTATAATTTCTACATAAATTTTTGTTGAAACTAATAATATATTCTGGTTTCAAAATAATATAATCTCAGCTCAACTGTTTTAACTTTTTTTTTTTAAAAAAAAAGATAAAACTAAGCCATCGATTTTTTTTCAAAGGTTTCCTTGACAATTTGTTATAAGTGGCAACTAAAGAATCAAATTAATTATTATTAGCTAACATAATTCTATTTGAATCTATAATTTTTTCAAAATATGCCACGTGTCAATTTCATTAATAAATTATTCTTTTATATTTAGAGAAATTTTTTTTATTTATTGTACAATCCTACAAATTAGTTTGATCTTTCAATTTTTAAATTAAAACTTTACAATTATCCAAGAGAATGTTCAAATCAATAAGCATTTAATTCTAGCAATTATTGGTTTTTTCACCATATTATCACTACTAATCCATTCATGAAAAGAAAGTGAAATGTTTAATTCATTAAATCTAAAGATGATAAAATCTCTTCCTCTTCTTTATTTAACCATTTTCCTATTAATCTATTTAATGTTGTTGATCTTTCGAAAGTCTTTGTAAAAAAACCTTAAAAAATTTATTCATTTTTAATCCTTGAGTTTTCATTCAGATTTTGTTTTTTTTTAAAACAAATTCATTGATTTGTAAGTATTTTTTTATTATTTTATTTAAACTCTTAGGATGTATTGATAAATATATTTGTTAATTTACAATTTTTTTTTTGCAAAATCTATTAATTAAAAGACCTAACTTACAAATTCAAAAGGTATTAAAAAAATCTGATTATAAATTTATTAATTTGTGCAGTAAAATTCTCAACCCATTTTAATTTTTTTTTTCTTTGTTCATGATAGATCTTTATATTTGCTTTTAAAAAATTTAATATTTCACAGGGTTAAGAAAATAGATATGCGTAAATATATTTTAATATTTTAAATTATTATTGTTATTGAACTGCAGCAAGAGATGTAAATGATACATTAGTACTCGTAAGCTACTCGCGTTCGATTTGAAAAAACTCGAATTCGATTCGATTATTATAAAATCGAACTCGAGCTCGAGTAACTTGACTTATTGATCGAACTGAATTTGAGTATTCTTATATCCGGCTTGAATAGCTCGCGAACCTAATTGAGTTTTTATATTTAAATATATTTTTATTATTTTAATTAATAAAAAATTTCGAGTCCGAGTTCGAGTTCGAGCATAAATAATCGAACTCTTGTCGAGTATACGAATCGAACTTATTTTTACATATTAATCGAACTTAATTGAGCGAGTTCGAGTAGCTCGAATTCGATCACGAATCGAATTCGGACTTGAAAAATAAATTCAATCGAGTTCTAGACAAATATCGAACCTCAAGTTGTGAGTCGAGCTTGAGCTCAAACTTCTCATTGTATCGATTCGATTCGATTACACTCTTAACTGCAATAACGCTCGACACACTACTTAATTATTATTATTGTGGACTTCTAATAGACATAGAAGTAATTAAACGGTAAACCTTTCGGTTTTTCTTCCCTTTTTGAAGAATGACAGCAGCCCACTGCTGTCATCTTAATTGGGTGCGTACAAATACACAAACATTAAACAAAAACCATTACAAATGCTTAAATGGTATGTTAGGGAATTTCACAAAATTTTGTGGTACATTTATTTATTTATTTATTTTGTCAGAGATAAAAAATAGTAATTGATTTCAAACTGAAAGTGTAAATTCATGGTTTCATATTTTTTTGAAAATTTAGCCAAAAATAATATGGCATAAAACTGAATTAAGTGAAAAACTAAAAAAAAAAAAACACCGAAATGTTATTTCATATTGAAATCTCTTAGTCAAAAAAAAAATCTTCAATAAAAAAATGCATTTAGACTTTACTCCAATAGTAAACGTATGCATTTATTAATTGAAATAATTGAGTTCGATTCCATCAAAAAGAAAAGAAAAAAAAAAAAAAGAACTGAGTCGGACATTTACATTTAAAAAAACAAACAATTGAAAAAAAAATACATTATACAATAAATAAATATTAGTAAAATAAAGAAAATCTACGAAATGAATTCAACTACAAAATTTAATGTTATATTTTTTCAATTGTTTTTTTTTTTTTTAAAACAATACGATATGGATCTCATAATCACATGATCAACTATCACTATTAATTCAATAATTAGCGTATATCTAATCCCAAGTTGTCTTGTGCTACTAATAATTATACATAAAATCATAGCTGCCTCTGGTCCACACTTGGCCTCAATTTTCGATCTACTTCTCATTATTTTCTTGGCCTGTTTTTAAAAGATACAAATAATTTAAAAGAGGGTACAAAGCAAGAAAAATAAGAAAGAAAGAGACAGCTCGACTTCTTATTGATTACTTCTTAGTTGTCAATCTTGGTTTGTAATTAAAAGATAATACCAAGAATAAAAAGCAAGAGGAAAGCTAGGATCAGGAACAATGAAGGGAAAAAAAAGAGAGAGAAGGAGTACAGCTTTGCTTTTGATTTTTCTTCCCCAAAAACTTTATTGACAAGGTGTTGTGAATGCAAAATCCAAAAAAAAGAAAAAACACTATTTAAATCAGTCATTGAGTTTATCATCAACATTGAATTGGGTTTTTCTTACAATGAGCACTTTAAAAAAAAAAAAAAAAAATTTTGACAACTGACAGGCCAGCTGCCCATATATGCTTTGTTCCTTTCTTCTAGGACGAAGGATATCGCGGACCCTATTGCTATCTTTAATTCTTGGAGTAAAAAGGCATACAAAACATGCAAGATCTCGCTAATGAAATACAATAAAAATGTTCGGATTTATGCCTCTAAAGCCATGTCCGATGTCAATGGTTAAAGTTAGATTTTATGATTTTTTTACATAAAAGTTTAAAGTGATGAGAGATTTCTTTAATTTTGTGGTTAGGACAAATTATAAGTTTTCAAAAAAAATTTATATTAAATTTACATATCATTTATCAAAAAAGATTGTTAAATTAAAATAATTATTAAATTTACAGATTATCTATCAAAATATATTATTATATTCAAATAGTTATGAATTCAAAATTTAAAATTTAAGGATTAAGATTTTAGGTGAAAAAAAAATAATACTCTGTTTATGTAATTCAAAATTATTATGATCTATATATATATATATATATATATATATAAATCATGTGCCAATTGAAGCTCTGATTTTTTGTTAAACAATTAGTTTAGTTCAATGATCGGTAGGTGTCCCTCGTAACTTCACATCCCCCCAATCTCTGTTGAAACTTTAATCTAATTCCTAAATCAATTGCTTTTCAAACTATATATTTTTTTACTGACTTTTACTTTATTAAATTAACCCCTTGCATCTCTATTCTTTACTCTACATTCAAATAGCTATAAAAAAATATTTATTTATTTCACCGACAGAAGAACGATGATATATAATGCAACACGAAATTTTGACTTGTTAAACTGTTGCCATCGATTAAATTTATCGAATATTATTATCAAGAAATTGGACGGCTGTCATGGAATATTGAATTATTATTTATTCCTAGCTAGGAAATCAAAACATAAAGATCGAAATTGATCTTCTATGGACTTTTGCACACTTTGAAAGAATACTTTCAAACAGTAATAAATAATTTTTTGTGATTGATAACGTGGGTCATTTTATCTGACAGTTGTCAAACAATTTTCTCAAAATAAAAAACGATTGGATGTCGACCATTGGGGTGATGGTAGTAGGCCATGTTTTGTTCACATTTTCTCAGCAACCAAACATGAATTGTGGGTTCAACTGATTATTTCACTCCCGGTCTAGTTTTCGGATAGAAATGTTAATCAATTTTCGTTTTGGAATCTAGTAGTATAGAACTGACCGAATTCTATCAATTGATTTAACATAGAATAATAAAGCAACTTTGTTTTTTTTATTATTATATTTTATAGCAAAATTTTGTACGACTTTCCACGTGGGATATTGTATAATGTTAGGTACATGCCATTGCAGATGCCGTGTAAGTAAGAAAAAAAGTTGATGTAATATCATAGTGACGGGATAAGCAGATTAATCTGGACTTCAAACTTTTTTCTTTTGCCTAGTCTCAGACACTAGCCTCCAAACTCAATAAAAGATGGTACCGGAAAGAAATTAAGCTTTGCTGTCCCACGCTGGCTTTAGCTTTGGGAGATAGAGTTTGGGCGAATTACTTCCTTCCCCAGAAGAAAACAAAGGGTGATTATAATTTGTTGATGGCCTATGGGCCCCATATTCATTTATCCCTCTAACTAAAGTGCCCTACTTCAGAGGTGAAGTCCTAATATTTGGACCAATTGACATGAAATTTCTATCCATGCTTGAAAGCTGTAGATTTAAAATAATTCATACACTCAGTTAACTAAACATAGAGGATACATGAATCAATAACAAGCTAAGATGAAAACTTCACATTCCCAGGAAGAATTCGAAATTAGTATGATTTATTGGCCGCCGGTAGGATGAAGTGTCAATGCTATATTATGGAACTGTCAAACCAACATTATATTTCTAGTTTTTTTTTTTTCGCCGCTAAGCGAGAGAAAGGACCAAACTCTAAGTTCCTACATCAATTCTGCTGGCCCAATGAAACAAACTTCAACCACTTTGACCCCTGAAACTTGGATTGTAATAGCCATGATTATATATATACTCAGCAAGGGGGCTCGGAATGGAACAATTTGTTTTTTCAGCATCTGAATGGACCATTTCTCCAGCGATTTGCAGCAACAAATGATTCTGAATGAGGCTGATAACCTTAATAGAGTGGGATTGCCATAGCAAGTCTCCCACCTATTTACCATCTGCAAGCAAGCCTATTTTCACCAGTTGCAATCAAGGAATTGAGATGTGAAAGTCGTGGAATAGCTTTTAGAATAAGCATCGTTTTTATGTGATGACACCAAAAATAATTTAAGAATGTCAGATTTAACAGTTATATCACACACAACATTAAGACCCATCATCTTCCTTCGTGCCTTAACAGTGGGCATAGACCATCCAACTGAATTCATACTCGCTACTCGTACCAATCACATTCATCAAACCCATGGAAATAAATCTACAGGCATAATTCATCAACGTGTACACAAATTAAACGTGTTAAGATGTTAGGTTATCTACAAGAAACATCATTTGCGTTTACACCTAAGTGATTTTCAAACTAAACTTAGCAAAGTATCTAAAATCACAATGCACATGATTCAACTCCAAAGAAAACAATTAACATTCACAATAATAAACGTTATTGGTGCAAATCCATTAGCTAACACAAAATTGTTTTGGCTTAGACCAATCAATATCCAAGCTTGAAAGATGAAAAACACTAGTTCCTGTATTTAAACACTAAATGCAAATGCTAACATGATCTCTACCACAAAAAAATTACTAATAAAATAAAAGAGCTCTTTTATCTAGAAGTTATTGTACAACAAAGCTTCCTGAAATGTGCAAGCAATTCAAGATTTGCTTGATCCGCCTAAATTTTTGTGAATCTCTAGTTCCAATAGTCAGTGGGATTGAGCACCTTAAATTGCAAGTTTTAAATATAGTATTTAATTAAATGCCCACTCCTCAAAACCCTTCCATTTATAGAAAATATGTGAGAAATAAAAATTTGCTTAAAAATGGCTTGCATACAGCCTAGTTGTCTCCAGAGAGTGACATTCACCTCCTCCCACGGGTTCCAGAACCTGACCTTGGGCCTGGGTACCGAGAAAACTGCAGCCTCAAGTAGTTAGAATCAGGATCATCTTCATCCATTTTATAACCTGCACAATCCAACAATAAAGTCTACTTACTCAGGAAGTTATGAAAAGTGTTAAAAAAGACTAATATTTGGTCACCCACTATGTGTATGTTTTGGAAAAAAAAAAGTGTGTTTTAAAAGAAAAATGGAAGTTAAGTGATTAACATGTGGTATCTTTTTTTTTCAAGTAGTAATTTCTTTTAAAGAAAAATGTCTTTGTCTAAAAAAGGTCACATGACATATATATCTTTAATTTTAACTTTATTACCGTTACTTTATTTCGATTTTATGTAACTTCAAAACTGAATAGGTGTCATTTAACTCATGACACCAAACTTGGTCAAAAGCATCATATATAGTAAAGATATATGGGTCAGCCAATGGATGATGGGCTCAACTTATGTCATTTCATAGTTCAAAGTTCTATTTTCAATTGCAAATCCCTCCTGGTAGCATTCCTTTTGGGAAAAAATCGAGTATGCATATTTTCTGCCTTTCACAAAGCTCACTTCCTTTTAAAATCATTCATGCATGGCAAAATTTTAAAAAACAGACGCATACACAAACTGAAAAAGAACTAGAAAACCAAGACATAGAAGAAAAATCACATAGCATAAAAAGCATCTTCAGTTTTTTTTTTTTTCTGATTTGGCGGAAAGGAGATTCAAACTCTGCTCTTTGAGCAGGTGATACATGCGCCTACCACTTGAACCAAATGCTCAATTGCACCAATATCATTCTATAGTGTTCACTATCATTTCCGATTGTTTTTTCCATGTATCATTTTCCAATGATAAGCTACCTTCTATAAATGCCAAAATCAATGGAAGAAGAAATCACCTTGCAAGGCACTCATTGCAGTTGCAGCACAGGCGGGACTTGAAAAATCAACAAAACAAAGGATAATAGGATCTCCACCACGCTGCATCAGCAATCATCAGTTTTTAGCATTCAACAAAACAGTCACGCTTATGACAATTTCACATAAGAAAACAACAAAGGAAGTCATGCTACAGGAGACAAATTAAATATTGGTCAATGCCTAGACCACTTACATGTCGGGATTCTTTGCTCACTAGTCGTACTTCTTTATATCCAACAAAAGGGCGAAAGATATCTAAAGCCTCAATCAAGGAATGTCAAACAACAGTGGGAAGCAAGGTAATCGAGTTAAAATATGGTATCATAAAAGACATATCGACATATTTTATCAAGCATTACATCATTAAATAGGATACGGGCCACTTCTCTCCTTGTGCTGTCAGGAGGAAGTCCCTCAACATATAGAGTATTGGAAGCATCTGGAGGTAAAGGTACAGTATCCCGACCTGGCCTCGACATTGCATCTAGTGGAAGTTGACCACTATAACCGACATTTCGACCATTTGGTGCCAGATCTGGAGCAGATCCCGAACGACCCATCACAGGAAGTTCAGCTATTGAACGAGCAGGCATTGCACCACCAACAGCCCTTCCCAACCCACCAAATTTACTAGCTTCTCCAGAAGTAAAAGAAGAAAGTTGCTTCAAAAGCAATTTAATGAATGCTTTAGAAAACAAAAATGGAGATGCATGGTGGAGGATAAATAAGCATGAATAAAGATTCAAGATGGTACCGCGCTCTGGAGATAACGATCATATGCTGATCCAATTGTTTTTGTATCCTTCACAGACAGATGTCCACCTCGATCATCATCTCTTGCCAAATAATTATGCGTCTCATGAACCGGATGCAGTTCAGAAGGTAGGGCATCTATGAAGTTGAAAATTGAACATTTATGTGTAACTCTTTCTTAAAGCAAATAATATCTTTCACAAAATAGGCAGAAGTGAAACAAGCGTGTTTCTTAAAATCATTACAAACAAAATGTAAAGACAAAAATAAAGTTCCGCAAAGCAGATGGCTAAATGCAAGTCTGAACAAAATTTACAGCTAGCTAAGATGAAAAAAGGTAATGTTGCAATTAATAACTATGCACAGACAACTTAAATTATTTAAGCAATCCGATATGTACAAACAAACTTGTCCTACAAATGTCAATTTGAAAATGAAAAAAAAAAATGTAACGAAACAACAGAAGTGAAGCAGAATACAGCCTTGCAAAGAAGAAAACGGGTTAAGAGCACTCGATACTTTTGGTTTTCAATGGTCATCCATTTCTTATATCACAGCCAATGGATACCTTAAAACTAAGATTCTATATAGAATTATTACCTGATTATTTCAATATTGAGCCTTTAAAATTTCTATTGCATTCATTTTCATTGTCAAAAAAAAAAAAAATCAACTTTCAAGCGTGCTTATCCATAAATGCATATAATTCAACAAAATGAAATCGAACATCAAACGAATAGTTTAGTCCAATACAGAGTTTGAACAAAATTCTACCAATCTAATAGAAAATTTTCTACTTTTTCTGAAATAATTTCAAAAGCAGATAAAACTAAAACAGAATTGAACAAAAGTTTGGCAAAATAGACAACGATCATGGCAACAAAAAGGGTTTAAAGCGACAAAGAAAGAAGTGTACCGTAGTCAGTACGTGGTCGTTTAAGCAACCCACCCGAAGACAGCATCGAAGGAGTTGGCTGCCGCCGATTCCAGTAACCATCCGCCATTCACTCTTTTATTAAATCTCCTCTGCAAAAACAATAATAAGTAATTAATTTTTCTAATTTTCCATATAGAAAAGAAAAAAAAGGAATTTAATTGAGAGAGAAAGAAAAGACCTTGGCCGGGAGTTGAGGAAACCCTAGCTCGGGCTATCTACTTCGCTTCCCTTTTGTTTTATTTTCGTCCTGATTTTTTGTTTCTAAACACAAAGCACAAATCTGATTTCGCTGAGTTTCTCGTACGAGTCTTGACTCACAAGAGTTACAACTCAAACACTAGCAAATCAACAAGTGTGTTCGAAAGTGTTCGGTGCGGTAGCCTTCATAAACCCTTTGCGATGGACCAATCTTTTCTAGCCACGTCTTATTTTTCAGGTAATGTTTTTTTTTTTTTTCTTTATAAGTGAATATAATCTCTTCTTTATCTTTTATTTACTTTTGTCCGTCTTCTCTTAGACGGTTTATAAATTAAATAATAAAAAATAAAGAATATTTTTTAATATAAAAAATGTCAAAATCTATGAATTAAGAGAGGAAAATTTCTAAATACCGAAATCCAATCTCAATTTTATTTGAATTCATCTTTAAAAAAATGAATTATTTAAATTAAATCTTAAATTTTTTTAATACTTGAATTTTATTTAATTATAAAATAACGTTTGATATCTTTTGTCAAATTACTAAGATAATGTAATCATTGAATTAATTTTATTATCACGGTATCTTATCACTTTTGATTTTTAATTATTTTATTTTATTAATAATTATTAATTTTTAAGAATTAAAGGTTATTATGTTTACTATTATAAAAAATCTGTTTAAAAAGATGAAAATAATTATGTATATTATAATAATTACATAAGTTAATAATAAGTTAACGTTATTTAGAGATAATAATTTGTAAAATATTAGTAATATTTTATTTATTTTATAATAAAATATTATTTAATTATTAAATTAATAAATATATTTATTGTTAAGTAAATTAATTTTATGATATAAATAATATAAAACATATTTGAATTAGAAATTAAAAAATCTATTAAATTAATAATAAAAAAATAAAAAATTATATTATATATAAAATATTAAAAATAAAAAATAATAATTATTTTTGAATTTATTATAATAAATATTATTTTAAAAATATAAAAGTTTATAATATAATATAATTACAATTTTAGGAGGACGTAAGGCTTTAATTTATATATTATATAAGTAATATTAATTATTATTAATTTTAAATAATATTTTATTTCGATGATAAAATTTTTTTATTTTTTTGAATGAATATTAGATCATTTTATGATATATCACTCTCAAGAATTTAAAATCATCATTACAGAAAATTACACAATATTTATCAAAATAATTATATAATTTTTGTGTATAAATCACTATAATTTTTAAAGTGATCATCTCATACTAAATATAATCTAAAAGCATTCATAAACCAATTCTATAATATCCTATTTTTGAGAGATTTCATTATTTTAACAAAATTATTCTGTTTATAAATTCATCGCATAATAAAAATATTGAAAAATAAAAGTTAATTAATAATTACTTCTTTGGCTTTAAAACAAAGGATGAGAGTTGACTTAGACACATAATTTTTTTATACATAGATTAAGATAAATTATTTTTTAACTTCTTTTTTATACATAACTTTAAAAAAAAAACATTTGAGTAAGTTGCTGTCAAGTGTGCCACAACACTAAACCTCCATTTGTATTGCACAAAATAACTTTTAAAAAATGATTTTTGAAAAATATTTATATTTTTTTAATTAAATTTTTTTTTTATTATTTGGATAAGTTAATGAAAAATATTTTTAGTTGTTTAGTTCTTTTAAAATTTTTTTAAATAGTATTAATATAACTATTAAAATATTAAAAATTATTTATTATTAAAATATATTGAAATTATTTATTATTAATATTAAAAATAATTATATTTTAATAATATTTAATATTAAAATATTATGTTAATATAAAAAATACTTAAAATAAAACTATTTATTATTCTTTATATTATTTATTAATATATTATATTAATAGTATATTATTTATTAATATAATATTATTTATTTATTAATATGATTTCATTTATTAATATATTATAATATTATTTCTTAATGTTATTTATTATATTATATTAATAGTATATTATTTATTAATATTAATATATTATTATAATACTTATTTATAATAATATTTAATAATATATTATTTATTAATATAATATTATTTATATATTATTATATTATTTATTAATATTATTTATTAATAATATATTATTTATTCATATAATATTATTTATTTATTAATATAATATTATTTATAAATAAAATTATACTAAAAAATATTGATAAATAATTTTACTTGTATACAATATTTTCATGGAAAATATTTTTTTTAATTCGTAAGATAATTTTTAAAAAATAATTTTATTTTTTATTGATCAATAAGTTATTTTTTATTTACTCATTAATTTTTATCAAATAAATATTTGAAAATATAAAAATTATTTTTCAAAAATCGAGGCTAACAATATAACCCTTTGCCAGGTTCAGCCAAGCCGAAAAGAAAAGCACAAGAAATCATGGTAGGCCTGGGTCATGCTCCAACCATGCATACACCCATAACCCAAGAATTAAATAGTGTAACTGATTTTTTTATCAGTCATAGTAGTATTAGTATTAATTATACAAGCTGGCTCAAATCTTGAAATATTAGCTTTATCTCAATAAAAATAAAAATAAAAAACTTAACAAGAAAATTTTTTCTCAAACTTGACTAATGTCAAGAGAAAATACTGTCATCGAATAATATGTGAATCCAAAATAAATCTTCACTCTCTAAATTCTATTTTAAACGTGAAAACATCCCTTTTTTTTAAACTTTAGTTAACAAAAAATAAAGCAGATATCTATAAATTCACCCATGAACAGCTTTTCTTTTAAGATCTATTAATCAATTCTCCTGAACAAATAGAATTTTGGGTGAACTTGTGAGAAGTTACACTTATATATCTTGATCATAGCACACCATCAAATCAATTTCATATAACCTTCAAAACAAAAATAAAAACAAGTAGGCTGATATATATGGCATCGAGGATGTAAAATCAGAATAACACTGAAGAAATTTTATGATGCAAAAAATTAGTAACAAAAGCTAACAACAAACTAATTATTTAACTTAATAAGCTACTTTCAACACTTACAAGGAAGGGCCAGGCATGGCCTACGGAGAACTAACAAAGGAACTAAGAAGTGGAGGTTCTGGTATGTTTACTGTCCCTTCCAGCATCAATATAACCTTTTTCATTGTTGGTCGAGATGATGGTTCATCTTGAGTGCACCACAGTCCCACCTTAACCATCCTCTCAAGCTTACTCTTTTCCACTTCTTCATTTTGCACCAGCTTCTCCAGTTCATCAGCCTTGAAACAATCATAGACCCAATGTGCAAGAACTGCTTCATTCTCTGGAACATCCGCCTCCACGCTCCTTCGACAACAAATGATCTCAAACAACATTATTCCGAAGCTATATACATCTGCTTTCACTGTTATAGGCAAGTTTTGATGCCACTCAGGTGCAACATATCCCCTTGTTCCTCTGATTCCAGTATATGTCTTCGTTTGGTTGGGCATCAACAGCTTGGCTAATCCAAAATCTGCAATTTTTGCATACCCTTTGTCATCCATTAGGATATTTTCAGGTTTGATGTCACAGTGGATGATCTGAGATTCACACTCTTCGTGCAAGTAGAAAATTCCTCTGGCAATGTTCAATATTATTGCAATTCTTCCCTCCCAATTTATCTTTAAATTGGATCTAAAGAGAAAGTCTGCGAGTGAGCCATTTTTCATGTACTCATACACCAGAAGCCTATTAGTTCCATCATGGCAGTAACCAAGCAATTGAACCAGGTTCTTATGATGAGTTTTCCCAATTGCTTTCATTTCATTCCTGAAATCTCTTTCTCCTTCAGCCACCACTTTTTCTAGTCTCTTGATGGCTACAATTCTCTTGCCATTGGATATCACCCCTCTGAAAACTGTCCCATAAGCTCCTTTACCAATCTCATCAACGAAATTGTTAGTTGCATCTTTGAGCTCGTCAAATGTAAATGATCTCAAAGTAACATCTTCAGCAACTCGATTATTTACAACATTCAAAATTCTCTCGTATTCTCGAACATGAGACCTATATTTAAGAGCACCGACTGCTACTAGAACAAGAAATGTAAGTGTCATGCCCGCCATGGCTATGCTAGTGATTAAGATGTCTAATCGCAGCTTTCTGTGCTTTCTTTTCCGACCCCCAGCAGGTCCAGCACCAATCTTTAAAAAAGTGATCGCTTGACTACTTAATTCCCTTCTCCCAAATCTTAATGGCAACTTCAGCAATTTGCACAATTGGTTTTCATAAATCGCTGCTTCACAGTAGCAGTCTCTAAAACATTCGTCTCTGCAAGAATTTTTTGCTATTGATGAGAGACTCAAATATGAATCACCTTTCCAGGATAAACCAATCAGTTCATAAAAGTCAAGAGTTTGCTCACTCTTTACCGAACAGGCATCAATACTGTAATTCTTTTGGCATCCCAATTCCTTCTGTCCCTGGTTAATGAAATCAAAACGACTAGGACATTGACATTCAGGATCCCCATTCATCAGAGTGCAGTAGCTATTCACACCGCACAAGCCTGTAGGATCACATTTGTTATCAGAGGATGACCATTCGATGGACCAATTACCGGATTGGTTGGAACTATGTGAATACAATCGAAATATTCCATCCGCATCAATTGTTGCACGGTATATGGGTTTACCTAAGACAATAGACTTGTCAGGAATAATTTTTATGTTGAATCCAGTGGCATTTAGCAGGTATAGGAGACCATTGCTGTCAAGATTCAGAGTCACACCAGCTCCAGCATTATATGTTCCAGTATTCCAGTAAAAAGTTTCCGTTTCTACTGCTTCTACTGGATATTGCACCAGATTCCCATCTCCTTGCATAATGATTAGAAATTTTCCACTCGCATGATTTGTCTCGGAGACACTGGAAACCAGCTTATTGGGCACCACCAGACGCTGACCAGGTAAAATGGTGTCTGTTGGGGTATCAAAACTCTGCCATAGTATCTCTGAATTTGAACTGAATAGAACAAAGTTACCAGAGTTAAGCATGGAGGCTGAGGATGCTAATTGAGAAGCAATTGCTATATTTATCATTTGGCCTTGCTTTGATTGCACAAGAAGGCTACCTTCAGTGCTTAAAAGCAATGTGACATCCTTGGAGAATGGAGGGCCATCTCGGTTAGCCGTCCATACAACTGTTTTCTGCTGGATTTTTTCAAACCATATGCCTACAGAGAAGCCATTGCCATATGGATAGAAACCAAAGGCAAATTGGCCACTCTCTGATAGCCAATATGAATTGTTATTTGGTGAAAGAGAAGAACCTGGTCCGATGATAGAATTTCTTGGTTGAGCTTTAGCTGTGGTAAGTATAAATCTTAGAAGAAACAAAATCACAAATGCCATTTTTTGGTTGATAAAAACTTTCAGGTCCTTGTTTCTCTCTCTTTGTGATTTGAATGCATAAGGCCGTGAAATGGAAGTTAGAAACATGACCCCAATCTTGCCAATTCAATACGCTAACCCCAGAAATAAGGCAAACGAAACAAGACCTTTAGTTTCAACAAAATACACGCCTTCAAATTAATGGCAGGACTAATACTTTTGACTCTGACTGATCAAATAACTGGGCGTGGGAGTAAAAAACAAACTAAAATGAAGATGAAGAAATTAATTTGTTGGTCACAGTCTCCGTCAATAACATTTTTTACTCCTTTCCTTTTCTTTGTTTTGGATCAAAATGTTTTATGAAAGACCATGTAATTTCTTTCTTCGGACTTAAACAGAGACAAACTAATTTTCTCCAACTTTGACTTTCCTTGGTGTCTTTCAACTTCATTTGAAATATCTATCCATCTATTTTCTTGAATACAGAGAGCCTGAACAGAATGGGATTCGATGAATCTCTACCATTGTTTAAATCTGTCTCAGTCATTGATCAAAATCTGAAGGAAAAGAAAGTCAAAGTTTTTGTGCTCGACATTCACATTGATGACTAAAATCGGACTTTTGTCTATTTGGTCGTCGTACGTGGGGCACTATTAAGGAATTAATACACAGAAATCGCTTTTAAAAAAAAAAAATCCCCTTCCGTTTACGCTACACAAAGGAGCAATTTAGTTAAGCGTGTAAAATATTTATTCAAGCGTCCATGGAACCATCTTGGCTTAAAAACATAGGTAAATCCGTAAATGAAAGGAAATTTTATTGTATTATTATAGAGGTGGCAATTGCGGGGGTCAAGTTGGATTTCCTATAACTTTTCTATCTTACCCGCTTGTTTTTGGTTCATTCTGATGGGATCTCACTTAATCAACTTTTAAGAATTGGTATTATGGATATTTCAGAGTCATAAAGATATGTGGTCATTTAGGCTACAAGGAAACTCAACATTGATGGTTAAATATGTGAGGATCTAGCACATTGAAAACCCAAAAAATTAATGGGATCTTCAAATGCTCTCACCACGAGATTTTAACTCCTTATTCGATCAAATCAAACCTTACCGGTAAACATACCTTTGCTTGAACTATTACAGTGTTTCAGCTTCTGTTACAGAAATAGAGTTTGAGAAGTTTGATTCCGCTTGATCTTAATTCAGAAGAATTAATCCGTTATCTATTTTATTGTTCTTAGAAATTACTCAAATCTCAAATCATAAAACATGAACTGGTTTTGGAAATGCTGTTATGGTTTTGATTTGGTTAAAAGATGCTTGTGGACACATTCATAGTTATACATGATCAGACGAAACCTTTAATTAGACAAAACCTTCGTTATAAATGATTAGAGTCAACATAAAATTCCCGAATGATCTCAGCAAGATGATTCATGATTTATCAGATAGTAACAGACATGTGTATCACAATTCCCAGATGAAATGAAATAAAGTTGCCAAAAATAGTATAAAGAAAGAAATGTGCAGCTACTTATAGAACTAAAACCTCTTCATTGAGATCTTTGGTATGGCCTATGGCGAGCTGACAATGGAACTAGGACAGGGAGAATCTGGTATGTTTACTGTTCCTTCCAGCATCAGTATAACGTTCTTCATTGATGGTCGTGATGATGGTTCATCCTGGGTGCACCATAGGCCCACCTTAACCACCCCCTCAAGCTTTTTCATTTCCACTTCATCATCATGCACCAGTTTCTCCAGCTCATTAGCCTTGAAACAATCATTGACCCAATTTACATGAACTGCTTTATTGTCAGGTACATCTACTTCCATACATCTGCTTTGACAGTTATAGGCAAGTTTCGGTGCCACTCGGGGGCAACATATCCCCTTGTTCCTCTGATTCCTGTATATGTCTTGCTTTGGTTGGGCGTCAGTAGCTTGGCCAAACCAAATTCAGCAATTTTTGCGTATCCTTTGTCATCCACTATTATGTTTTCAGGTTTGATGTCACTGCGGATAATCTGGATCTCACACTCTTCATGCAAGTAGAAAATTCCTCTGGCTTTGTTCAATATTGCTGCAATTCTTCCATCCCAATTTATCTTTAAAATGGATCTAAAGAGAAAATCTGCAAGTGGGCCATTTTTCATGTACTCGTACACCAGAAGTGTCATGAGCCAACCTTGTATAAGGCCATGACCGGGACCTAGGTTGCCATGAGCCACCCATGTATAGGGCCATGGCCGAGTAGACCCCTTGTGTTAGGAAAAGTGTCCCCATTTCAAACATTGTAACGGTTACTGGTAGCATAGCTCTAAAATCTCTAAGGCTCTTTAGGGGGTGAGTCGGCAGGGTATTGTTGGGCTGTCTCACCGGGTGCTATGCGAGCTTAGGCCACCCATCATGGGCTGCCCCCCTGGCCCTGGTGATGGTGGGAGGTCCCGATGTATGATTCCCGATTTTAATGAAATTCGCCTCGATTGAATGCCCGATTGTTGCCTCGATGTGTTTCTTTTCTTTCTCGATGTGAATGTGCCTTGTTGTGTGTATGGATGAGATTGATATTGATATATTGTGCCTTATTGTGAATGCTTGAGACTAACCATGGTTTATGGTTATTTGTTCAGATCTCGATCTATTGAGGGCTGACTTGGGTGGAAGCGTCCATTCAAGTGCCTCGCGGGCTAGTGCTTGTTGAGAGAAAGCTTAGTCCGTGACAAGAAGCCTATTATTTCCATCATAGCTGTAACCGAGCAATTGAAGTAGGTTCTTATGATGCGTTTTCCCAATTGCCTTCATTTCATTCCTGAATTCTCTTACTCCTTCAGCCACCACTTTTTCTAGTCTTTTGATGGCTACAACTCGCTTGCCATTTGATATGACTCCTCTGAAAACTGTACCGAAAGCTCCTTTACAATATTGTCTATGAAATTATTAGTTGCATTCTTTAGCTCCTCATATGTGAATGATTTCAATGTGACATCCTCAACAAATCTATCATCTCTTTGATCCAAAATCCTTCGGGACTTTTGAATGCAATGCCTGTATATGACAATACCAGAGGATGCTAAAACAAAAAATGCAAGCGCCGAAGATGCAATGCCAGTAATGAAGATGTCCATTGGCACTTCATTCTTCTGCCCTTTCCCTCCAATTATGGTCCTAACCCCAGCACCAATCTTTACAAAGTTGTCATTCTACCTCCCTTTCCTCTTCTCCAATATCTTAGTGGGAGCTTCAGCTTTTTGCATACTTGCCTTGCACTTCCATATACGGCAACTTCACAGTTACAATCTCTTAAGGATTTGTCTCTGCAATAATCTTTTGATACTGCACGGAGAGTAGCATAACGATCATCTTCCCAGGTCATACTACTCAGTTCATTAATATCAAAGTTTTGCTTACTCTTTCTAGTGCAGGCATCTGCACCATAATTTTTTTGGCTTCCCAAGTCCTTCTGGCCCTGGTCAATGAAATCAAAACCAGGAGGACATTGACATACGGGATCCCGGTCCATTAAAGTGCAGTTGCTATTCACACCGCACAAGCCCCTAGGAACACATTTATTATAAAAGGATGACCATTCGTTTGACCAATTACCAGATTGGCTGGAACTATGTGAATACAATCGAAATATTCCATCTGCATCAATTGTTGCACGGTAGATGAGTTTACCAGAGATCCTAACCTTCTCAGTAATGTTTTTTACAAGCAATGCGGTAGCATTCAGAAGGCAAAGCTGACCATTGCTATCAAGATTCAAGGTCACATTATTTCCAGCATTAAATGTTTTTGAATCCCAGTAACCAGCCTCCTGTTTTACTGAATCTACTGGGTATTGCACCAGGTTCCCATCTCTCTGCATAATGAGTTGAAACCTTCCCATTCTATGATTTGTTGCAGATACATAAGAAACCAGACGTTGACCTTTAGAAAGACTCTGACCAGGTAAAATGGTATCTGTTGGGGAATCCAATGTCTGCCATATGATCTCTGAACTTGAACCAAAGAGAACAAAGTTACCAGAGTAGCATGGAGGCTGAGGAAGCAAATGTAGCATTTGCAATGATGGTGTCACGCCCCAACTAAAATGCAACATGGTCATATTTCTTTGAAGTAAACCTCAAAGTAATACAAAGCCTTCTTTTTTAATCATTTTAAAATTCTTCAATAAACTAATATAGTTTGTCAAGTAAAATTCATATATTTAATCTAACTAATGATACATCTCTATATATTCAAATACAAACCATATAAAAATACAAAACCGTTTTGTAAGATCTCATTGGCCAACATTGTCTCTAATGACTAAGTAATCTTTCTCATTTGATCTTCTAGTTTTCCACAAAGCTAAGCAAACTTATCACTTACTCATCTATAAAGAAAAAGTAAAAGGGAAATGAGCAAACCATAGTTCAACAAGTATAAGCTCACACACCTTACTGGATCAAGCTTCATTTTCATACATATTATATAGATCATTCAAAATATTCGTCAAATCATAATGTCATAACATTTCTAAAATCATCATTATGTCAAACATTTCCAAAATATCTTTAATCTAACTAATGATACATCTCTATATATCCAAATACAAACTATATAAAAATACAAAACCATTTCGTAAGATCTCATTGGCCAATATTGTCTCTGACAACTAAGTAATCTTTCTCATTTAATCTTCTAGCTTTTCACAAAATTAAGCAAACTTATCACTTACTCATCTATAAAGAAAAAGTAAAAGGAAAATGAGCAAACCACAATTTAACAAATATAGGCTCACACACCTTACCGGATCAAGCATCATTTTCATACATATTATATAGATCATTTAAAATATTTGTCAAATCATAATGTCAAAATATTTTTTAAAATCATCATTATATCAAACATTTCGTAGATCATAATTAATATCAAAACACGTCAATTCATAAATCATTGCAAAATATGCTGTCATTCAAATATTGTAATCAAATTGAATCATGGATCAATCATTAAAATCATCATAAATCATTATTATCATAAATAAT